ATTAATATTGAAAATATCGTTTTTTTTTTTTTTCGTGAATTTTTTAGTGAATTAATTTTATTTTCTATAAAAAATTTACCATTATTTTTTTTTAGTGTGGTTTCATAAGTACTTTTAAAATTTTTTTTAAAGAAACTTAAAGACTTAATGTATTATTTTTCATTAAAAATTAAAAGTTAACGGTAAAAATTTATTTTTAAATATGTGCAATTCAAAAAAAAATTTTTTGATTTACTATCCAATGGTACAACCTACAAACAAGACTTAGTGTCAACAGAAAGATCGGTTAGTGATGAAATCTCTTGTAGCCTCCATGATTGACGTACAGAGGAAGATAACACTCGTATCAATACAAAGAAAATGTGGTGAAGTACTGATGGTTCAAGTAAAGACTAGAAGACTGAACCCAGCCTCGAATCGACACATGCTGAAAACACATGCGGTTTAATGCCTTAGGTTGTTAATAACGCGACCAACTCACGCATGTTCTCAGTTTACTATATATATATATATATATGGAATGATAGTGATGGTGATGGTGTGGCGACATTCGAGTACTAGACATCCGGTACAATACCCCCGGTTATAATGGTTCTCTATTTCCTTGCATTGTTCACCGGTTACATTATATGCACCAACAGTAGATACTTACACTTTAAAATACAACTGTGCATTTATGTATCATAGATCTATACAAAACATATCAAACGTATGAGCATATGTGTTTATATTTATGTTATTTATAAATGAATTGTAACAGAATTGCGTATTATGATTTGGTCCAAAGAGAGAAAAGAGGCGCGGCCAATGCGTGTAAATAATTAAACGTTATTCGGTATATAATAGTAGGTATGCATATTTTATATATTTGTGAGTCATGAATAGGCTAATCGGTATTTCCGTGACTGTCGGTTATCATTATACTTGGTAATACATCACATGCCGATACTGATATGTATGTAATATTTAATAAGTAATATAAGAAAAATTTATTATATGATGGGTTTGATAATGGTAAGCATCGGTGAAATGTGTACTCAGTAAAGAATATTGGGTAAATAATTGTATATGTTAAGAATATTACCCGTGGAAATATTTTATGATATGGCCAATTTTTATATCAGGCTATTTCAGGCCAGATATGGAGATCTGATCATATATAGCTAATTCAAATCTCATCAAGCCCAACATGTTCTGATATGAAGGCCCAATATGCCCATATCTGACCTAACATGGCGAATCTCCGAACCAGAAAATATTAAAAATCAGCTAAAAAAATTTTTTTATACTTCTTTATATAATTTTAAATTTCTTTTTCGTTGAAAAAATTTTATATGGCCAATTTTTATATCAAATCACATAGGTCAAATATAGAAATCTATAGAACCAAACAATGGTCATATATAGTCTGATATATCCAAGTATAATTTTTTATATGACCTGATATAAAAATTGACTAATATAGCCATGTCAAAAAATTTTTCAGTGGGTATATATGGATACACAAACCATATGGAGCTAGATATTACCATGCAAAACATTTTAATATGGCTGTGAATAGCCATATCAGATAATTTTTCGACAAGTTTAGTAATGAAATAAATTTATCAATCAAATTGGTTTGTTTTTCAACGAAATTAAAAATACCCAACACTATTTATTACTTTTAGGTGATAATTGTAATGTAGCATCTCTAGATTTAATTTTGTGGTATTTTAATTCAATGTAAATACAATAAAATCTTGAGCAAACGAATTGGTAATCAGAAACCAGGGTTTTTAGGTGAAGTTTATAAAGCATTTGAATATGTATGAATAGATAATGTGTGTATACATAAGATTTATTTTGCCGAGTTAATATTCTTGAGATTCAAGGATTCTTAAATTAAATACATACTTTACTTCAAGTAATAATTTATTGAGAGAGTATGAATTACGTCTTATTCAAAGTTTTTATAAATTTTTTTAAATAAATAAATCTGATTTTCTTAATTACAAATTTGTTTTGGAACAAAAATTTTTTTTTTTTCAAGAAATTCATCTGAATGAAATTGATTAAAAAACTTTATAAAATATTGATCTTAATAATTTAAATGTATCAGTAAATTTCAAAAACTTTAATTAACAATTTTTCAAACATTAAATTATTAAACGTGGTTGAATTTATTAGAAAGATAGCAAGATACAGTAAAGTACGAGGTGCACAAACAATAACACGATAAAATGTATTATTAAAGTTTGAATAAACTTGGCAATTTATTATACCTGACTCTTTATAGTAATATTTCGTGATAGTTCGGTTTTGTGGTATCGTTCGCGCGTTGCCAATTACCAAGATAAATACTTACCGGCATTTATTAAGATACAAAGTTTGTTTACCGCGCAAACACCCTATTGTAAATATTTATTAATGAAAAAAGAGAGAAGAGCAAGTATTACTATCATTATATTATATTCAGCACAGAACAGTCTGGTGGATTGTCTTGATAAATAATTGTTGTTATTAATAGCAGCAGGTGTGAGAAAGATCCGATCGGGCTTAAACTAATCACTGTTATCATCAACGCGAATAATATAAACGCAACTACACGGAAAATGTATAATATAAAAATGTAATAAGCCGTTATAATCTGGCTTTGTTTAGTGCAAATATACTTTATTATTATTATCATTATTATTGTTATAAAATATTATGTTATTGCAATGCTATACTAACAGTAATAATACCCGGAAGCTACAATTTATACTTTTATTGTGACACTGAAATATTTTTACGGCGCAATACCCATTTATATACTAAGACCCTCGGAAGACGGATAGCAAAAAAAATATCATATATATATATATATATATATATATATATATATATATATATATGAAATGAATGAACACTGTTTTTCAGTGCTCGAATTTTTTTATTTTTTTTGATAATGTAACTTATACTCGCGTTGGCAAAATCATAAAGTCGTCACGTGCTCCTTAACACCGACATCTTTTATGCAGAGCGCACAACCAAAACGCTTCGCGAGAAAAAGACGTTTTTGTAATTCACACACGACGTGTCTTCTTCAAACACGTGTGTGAGAGTGAGTGTGTGTCATAAAGTCAAGTTGGAAGTTTTTGGATGCCTCCCTCTGAGTTAATAAAACAAAACAGTGAAACTACTGAGAGAAAAAAAATAAGAAAAAGAGATATACTATATATGCTTGTATCTATATAAATAAAATGGTAGAAAGTAAAGCCTAAATATATATCCGGAGTAAGCCCCTTGGTTGATCTTTTGGCTAGCAAGTCATCTGTATTTTCTCCGTATATATTCACTTTACAAATCGTTCTAAGACTTTTGGTAAATTTAGATTTATATGAGAAAAACAAATTTGTCCAGTTGAATTTCTGCATTTACTTTTATTGGTGTTTATGATGTTTAGATATTTTATTGAATTTTTAGGATGTGACGAAAATTTTTTAAGTGATACTGATTTTTTTGCAAGAAGATTAAGCTTAAAAGAATTAGTTGTAAAATTAAAGGTTGTGGTTGTCTATAAATCAAAATTTTGATGTGTTAAATTTTTAAGATAAAGGAAAAATTGAATTAATTTTGTTTTTTTAATTCACCTAATTAACTTAATTTGATAAAAATTTTACCTATCGGAAAATTTACTAATGTCAAGATTAAAAAAGGTTAAATTTATTATTCCATGATATTGATTTATTGATGATGTGTTAAAATTAAAATTGTTCCTAACACTAAAAATGATCAAAATTAATGCGCCGCAAAGTTAGTTCTCGACATTTCCAATAAAATTATCAAAAGTAAATTTCCTAAAGCGCTCAATCTACCGTTTAATGTCAACGATCTCAAGTGTACCGAGGTTATTTTTCACTTGACCTCTCGGTATATATTGAGCGAATTTGTAAAACTAAAAAAAAAAGATAAAAGTTTAAGTTACTTATGCAAATATTGAGCGGCTATAAATAAATAGTTGTGTAAGAAAAAAAGGAAAATGAGTAGCAGTAAGACGTAAACTTTGAAAGTATGAAACATAAATTTTTATATGATATGTATTATATATAAATATGTATTATATTTTTCTATGCGCCGCGAGCTCGGAGGTGTATTTTATTACCGGGAGGAAAATTTACAGATATCAATGTTCAATGCAGAGACGTAGGTAAGTGAATGAATTATCGATAAAGTTTGTAACGCCTGCATATAACCCGGGCTATAGTTGCAAGCGTGTATATTCTTTATGTTTAATTCATAACTTACATTATTCATTCATACGTCGGCTCGGTCATGAAGGAGGTGTACTTCCGTGAAGAATACCGTAACAAGTTTTGAACCCAGTACACATCCGAGTTCGTATATATTTTTTGGGAAAATCTGTTTAAACTGTACAAAATATAATATATAAAATCCGGTTTAAAAGATACATGATATTTTATAGTATGACTTTAGTTATATAAGTACAGTAAAAAATACATCACAAAACTTTAAATTTGAATCAAGTCTAAAATTGATTAACGATAGTTGAAAATATTTGACAAGAAATGTTTCATTTGTGAAATAGATTTAAATCGACCTTCTAATTAGAAAATTGTCTCACTACATGGCAGAAAATTTTCCATTTATGCAAAAAGAACAGTGTACTCAAATAATATTAATACTTTAGTCTTTAAAATTTAATATTTTATTTAAAACTCTCATATTACACAAAAACCACACACTAATTGCTACATTTATATTAAGTACAGTTAACAATGTATTTTTATAATTAATCATTTCTACTGACTACCATCACAAAAGATTATTTATGATTTGGAAATGGTCCTTTGAAATCTTGAAAATAATCAAGTAGAGGATAATAAAATGTGAGTATATTTGTTCTTATTAATAATTTTAAATTGAAATTAAAAATCAACGCTCGCAAAATTGACACAAAGTTAAAAATTAAGTTTCCAAACAATTAAAACATCTTTAATTTCTTGCAATAAAAATTTTTACCCTTCGATGGCTGGCATGGGTAATTGTTGAGGTTCAACTACATATTGCCTGCGTCGTCTGTTACGAATAGCCTTCACGATTGTTTCAAGAAAAAGTACGAGAAACCCGATAGCAGATCCAATCATCAACATATCAAATACGAAAAGCATTTCAGCGATTTCAAGAGCTCGATGTTCTTTATTAACGTGAACCGTTTTTGAAATTTTTCTAACCGCACGTTCCAAATTATATTTAGGAATTCCACTTTCGAAAAGCCGAGTGTATATGCTATTGACTCGTCTACTCAGTGGCCAATTTTTCCGCATTCGATAGATTAAGTATCGTTTGTTAACAACATCTTGAGAAGTGTACAAGTTAAACTGTTTGGCAAAACCGAGGTTCAAATACTGTTCATAGACACAAACAGAGTTTGTTGTATTGGATAGGATAGTGCATGTGTTATTGATAATGGTGCAACGTTTTGAAACCTCAGGACTTAAAGTCATTTGAAACCCTCGAACGCAGTAAAGATCAAAATCAGACTTCTCTTCTAATTCGCTAAATGTTTGCAAATTATTTGTAGTCGGTTCCATAATAAATTTCAGAATGTTACTGTTAAAGATCGTTTGAAAGATAAGCACGAAGAAAAATATTGTTGCAAGAATAATTCGCGGTGGAGAGCGAGTTGGAACTTCCGAGAGAGAATCACCGAGTAACAAACTAATTACTTGAAGTGTTGCTGATGAAATAGTTGGTTCAATAGTAACTCTCAGAGTTATTATTGCTATCAACATGACAACAGCGGTAGCGATCAAAAACCATGGTCGGAAAAAACGTATCATCGCCTCGAAAATTGAAATAAATCCGCGATCATTGCCGACAAATGTAAAACCACTTTCACAAACGATTGCAGATGCTTCTGTTGAATTTGAGTATAAGCTAAAGCGGTAATTTAGCATTATATCGTACTTGTTATCCGCGAGATCTTTAACTATTCCATAATGTAAACCTTTCGAATTGAGACCACTATGCTCAAAACTGCAACTATAATTAAACGGGACACCTAACTTATCGAACAACATTTTAGCCATCGAAACGTCAAATTTTTTTGCTATACTTTTATTGTAATCGCGATATATATCACATTTATTTTCATTAGGAAGAGCTGTCGCCGCCCTTATTCCAGTGTAGTTGCCCAAATGGAGAGTCTTGTCAAAGAACACCTCATCACAATTACTAAAATTGGCTGTAACAGTAAACATTTTCGTCAATGATAATTTGCCTTTTTGGAAATTAGGGGGTTTTACGCACTTAAGAAAGTACGAGCACCAAGGCAACTTTTGATAAAAGGCTTGATTTTTTTTTAATATGAAGTTTAAATATATCAAAACAAATTCCGAAAATTTGAAGGAGATTGCCCGATCATTTAAATAAATAATTAATTTTAAAGTTGAGCAATTTAACATTGGTCTTATGGGGTAACCTCCAAACATTGATACATTTCTGTATTTTTCTCGTAAAACTGTCGGTGAATATTTTTAAAAAACTTATAGATGAAAGTAAATATATTAGTGATAAATTTAATTCAAAAAAATTTACACTTGCCCGACTAATTAAAGTGTATTAATTAAAAGAAAAACAAATGCCGCCATTAGCCAATGTTAAATGTATATCTATATATTAAGAAAAATCATATGGTTACTGCTCTCCCCTTACCGCGCTAGAGTCGATACCTATCCCCACCCCGCCTATCGCTCGTACTTCCTTAAAAGGCAAAAAAAAAAAAAACGATTTTTCAATCATCACTTCAAATTTTACTGTCTCTAACAAAAAGGTATCTGACGGCGAACACGATATCTTCAAAAAAATTTGTGAAAATATTTGTCCGACAGATATTAAATTTCTAATAAATGTACTAAAATATATCTAAATTGTGAAAAAATGAAATCAAAAAAATCAATTTAAAAAAATTTTAAGTGTGTATAACCCCATAACTCAAAATTTTTTTTCATACCTGAAGCAGAATCTCGTTCGTACAAGAACCAATTATTATTGTCAGATTTGGTTATGACGTTATCCAATGTCCAGCCATTCATTGTCCAGTTATTATACGGATTATAATTGTAAATAATGACCTTGTCTTCAGAGTTAACGCATATGAAAACCGTGTTGATCAAATCCATTCTCCAGGCGATATCCAAAAATTCGCTCGCCTGATCGCAGTGTTGGGGTCCATTTGATTTGTCCAAAATAATGAAATGCCCAAACGAATTCCACCATTTTGATTTCTTTATTTGATGTAACATTTTTTGCAACCCCGACGTTGAATCCGTTGAAATTAAGGTGGTTTTTATGTGATCGATGTTCACTTGATTGCTCCTTTTCTCGATTAACGAATGATCCGAGTGTTCGTCAAAACAAATGACTGGCCTTATGTTAGCAAATCTCTGAATGTCATGGCTGTCAAAAGCGCCAGCAAGCATTAAACTGTTTGCATAAATTGTATTACATTGCTCAACGATTTCCAACTAAAATTAAATAAAGGAACTATTGAATAACAATACTATGTAAATTTTATTTTAAAAAATTTATTTACCACGACTTCAATTATTTTGCTGCTATCAAATGAATGTATCAAAATTTGACCATGAATATGGACACTTATAAGTGACATAAAGGTCCAAAAAATAACTTTTTTCATCAACATTTTTTATGAATATTGAAATAATTCACTGACATTTCCAACACGACTCACGACTTATTACTGACGACTGGCACATAATGAACATTAAAAAATCGATGTCACATTTTGCATTCGATACAAAGTATTTTACTTCGCCATTGGTGCACTTATTCTGACCAACCGACGTAAAAATAAAGTATCCAGGTAACCAACTTCAAAACAATACTCATATCTTCTTTATCTCATTACCAAATGGAAGCATATCGTATTGAGTGTTATCTTCACGCAATACAATTCACTAATCAAATATAAAGTTATTGCCGTTAATACACTCTTCATAAAAATACCGTGACTGTAGTTGCAAATCAGGGTTGCCAGAAATGTTCTGAACGAAATCGCGCGATCTGACGGCAAAACCGCAAATTAATATGAAAAACCGCCCAATTTGAATCTTCTTTTGATTTATAGTTTTTTCGTGGCTTATGAAAAATACTAACGATTAACATACTTACAATAAATAACAATAATAGCAATGCAATAAACTACAACTTCATTTTATTTTTCTTAACATACATAACGATAAAATACATAAACATTTTATTAATTAAAAATTTAAATTTTTTAATAACTCCTCTACGTTTTCATCTTCTTCTGAAGTGTCTGTCTTTTTTTTATCATAAATTGTAGAATTAAAATTTAGCATATCATCAGTAGGCTCGAATTTAGTGCAGCAGATTCCATTTTCTTCTAAGTGCATTTTGATTCGTAATATTGCCGATAATAAAAGAAGAGTCATGCGATTACGAAGCTTAGTTTTAGTAAGAGTTACTCTTGAGAACACCCGCTCAACTGAAGCATTACTAACAGGTAGACTGTACCTGTATGCTGTAAGTGCCAGAGACGCTATATCTTTGAAAATATAATTGCCTTCAGAGTCGGTCAACTTTATAACCTTCGACTAAAACATTGGACCCTGAGCCATTATCGACTCATCGAATATAGATTCAAAATCAAAATCGAGTAATTTTCTCCATTGAGATTCTACTGCATTAATATCAACACCTTTTTTTAAAAGATTCAATGGTAGTTCTGCAAAAGCTGGGCGATCACTTTTTAAACATATCTTCGGCGAAAAAACTCGAATTTTTTTCAAAATTGCTGTGTTACCTGACGTACGTGAAAGAAGTTCTTTACAAGCCCTTATCAAAAATAATTGACAACGATGCTTAACGTTATTTACAGTAGTCTGGGAAATATCAGTATCTTTTACCAAGCGATTAACAAGCGCTGTGAATTTGTATCCAAAATCCACTTTCTGAAGTGGTAGATAAATTGATTGAAAATTTAAATCTACTTCCAAAGAAACTGAAGATGGATGCAAAACTCTTCTTAGTAATGATAATGTAAAGCGCTCTAACTCTTGGAGAATACTGAAATGATCTGCATGTTCTTTTTGAAATAGCAAATTAATTGAGTTAAATTCCGATAGCAAAGGTAATAGAAATGTAAAATATAATAAATTAGCTGGATCATTATACATTTGCTGAAGTTCTTTGGCAACGTAACGATCTTGATGTGGTTCAGTAGCGGCAAAATCAAAGTTCAGTTTCAACGTATCCCATTGGTTCAATATTCGTTCAACAGCCTGCCCTCTTGCCAACCATCGGGTTGTAGAAAGATGAACCATTTGTAGAGGATCAGTTCCATCACTTATCGTATTATAAATATCCAAATATTTTTTTCGACGTAACGCTAACCTTTTAAACCAATTAAAAGTTTCTCGCAACATATAATCAATGTTTGACGGAAGTTCTTCAGAAGCATGTGAACACACTAAATGAATAGAGTGGCAAATGCATTTGAAGAGCATTAAATCATCCCTCTTTTTCTTCATCAATGTGTACAAAGATTTATTGCACCCACATAGATTGGACCCACCATCAGTAGCAATAGCAAAACATTGTTGAAGATTTAAATTGTGCTCATTAAAAAAAGAAGTCACATGCTCATATAAGTCTTCTGCAGTCGTTTCAATCACAGGAATTAATCCTAAGAATTGCGATACTATCCGCTCTTGTCTAGAATTATAATATCTAATGCAAATGCAAAGATGCTTTGTACAAGAAACATCCGTTGATTCATCGAAAATAAGCGAAAAGGGTACATCATTTATATCTTTGATTTGTTGCATCAATAATGATGGGGCAATTACTTTGGTTAATAATGCTGTGCACTTAGTCCTGTGAATTTTTGTATACTGATCAAGCTTCATATTCTTATTATCATTGGATTTAAAATGACCTTTCATTAAGTCAGACAAATGGTCAATTACTCGGATTGACGAGTGGCATGCTACATGGACAGCTAATTGTAATTCAAATTTCGTGCCTAGTTTTTTTTTATTTACTGGATCTACGGTAGGAAAAACTTGATTTATTGAAGGATGAAAAGTAATTGCAGCAGAATTTTTTTTGTGCTTCTCAGAATCTTTGTGTCTAATGAGATCATTTTTATGGGCTCTCAGTTCTGTTTTGCAAATTTTACAATATGCTTTGTTTCCATTGTCACTTACTTGTCCTAACCATTTACAGAAAATCGGATCTTTCAACCAGCTATCTTGAAATTTTTTGTTATACTTTGCCCAGTTAGTCATATTAGAAATAAAAATTTTTAAAAATGATAATCAAAACTATTGAATAAATTAATCCTTTACATTACTCTTCTCTTTTGTCAAAATAACACATACGTTCATCATTAACTGAAAATAATTAAATAATATTTGATTAGTTTGAGATAAAAAATATTTGTATAAAAAAAAATTCTTACTGTGAACTTCTTCCTCTGGTTCTTCAGATGAGGTAGAGTTTAAGCTGGTATTAACTGAATTGTCTTCAAACCCAGCAGGAATTGTAAAGATGATACCATCTGTGTTAATAATATTATTTTAAGCATAAATTTAACTTAACAAAAAAATAAATTTAATTATTTAATGAAAGTATCATATTTTAATTTTACTAACCAGGTTTCACAATGAAGACCCACTGATTATTATTATTCTTCAAAATGTTGTTAGATTGATCTAATAATGGCTCAATGTATCGATCAGTTGAATTGTTTGAATTACTTAGATTGTTAGTAGCCATTGACTTTAATCAACAATAATTTTTATTTTTGCATTGCAGCACGCCGAATCGAAGACTTAAACATTTGAAAGTTGTTCGATGACGGAGTAAAATTTATATATATTTTATCTATTAGATGATTTTATACATACTTTCGGTTGATAAGCAAAATTCGTTAAATATCATCTCACGCGTTACACCAACATAGCTGTCATCAAGTTCAATAGTCGAAACTCGCTAAGAAATGGGACCTGATTCTTTATTGGTTAAAATTAAGGCGCGCACGGAGCGCGCTATACAAATTCCTAATAAATATATATATATATATATATATA